CATTGAAGGAAAGAAATTGTTGTCAGCAAATCCAGCAACCTCCAGATGTCACACAGTATCCAGAGGGAGAAACAGCAGGTGAAGATCCTACAAGGAAGCAGAGGAAAATGCTCTGATGTTGCATCTACAGACCTCACTGTCATTTTATTACAGCTCACAGAAACATGGTGGGGGCAGAGATGAAGGATGTCCCAGGTGAATATCACTGAACAGTATCATCTGCTGGAGTGAGGCTTGTGCTCGGAAGGAATGGGTGGCCATCCCATCTCCGTGACTGTCAAGGTTATAGCTGCCTTAAACTTTTACGCCTGTGGCCCATTTCAAGGAGCAACTGGGAGATGTGTGGCATTTCCCAATCCTTTACTCACAGATGCATTCAGGATGTCACTAATGTTTTTTGCCATGGTGAGGAGAGTAAAAGCAACTTAGGCACTGGAATTGTCCTCAATTGCTGGCTACTTCAGGGCAGGTTGCAATACCCTGCATCCAGATTGCTTTGAGGGCACCCTATCACTAACTCACAGAATTCATCAACAGAAAACCTGTTCCACTTAAACAATGTTCAATTTATCTGTGACTATTGATGCTATATTTTAGAGCTCTGTGATATCCAAGAGCTGCCATGATGCACACGTACTGGGGAACTGATTGGTTCCTGCCCATCTCCAATCTTCCCATCCATGCAAGGACTGGGAGACAAGGGAGACCCCTTCCAAACATGGCTGTTGAAATATATATGAAACCCTCATACTTTTGCAGAACTAAGGCACAGCACTGTCTACACTTTCACCAGGTCAATATTAGAGCAGATCACTGGCCTTCTCAAGATTTCACGTGATTTCAATGGCAAGGCCTCTCTGGTGAGGCCTTGCAGTGTAACCCAGAAAAGGTGTGTTATATTATTGTGGCTTGTTGTGCCCTTCACAAGTGGGATTTTCTGGATACAGAGGAAATGAGGATCAACGTCAATGTTCTGACAAGATGAGAATGAGGATGAAGACATTGCCCGGAAGGGACATCTAAGTCAGCAAGATAAAGCAATGCATCTTCAGGCACAAGAAGCCAGAGAGAGTGTATTTGAAACCTGCATTCAGGATGAATGAGGTTGTTTATACCTTCTTTCATTATATGACTTTTGGTTGGTTTTATGGCAAGCAATGTCCCTTTAGTGCAAAGATATAGTTATGTTTGCAGTCCTATAACATTTCTGTTGCTGAAGTTGATCCCACTTCACTTAACTACATTTTACAGCTGAGAGTAACTGTTCAGGAGAACAGAGCAGTCAGTGAGACAGGGCAATAGCATTGCATGGTGCTAAGGTTAGGTGCTGTTTAATGCTTTCAGTCAACGTAGCAGTGTTTTGCAGTGGTGTCTCTCATGATAGGCAGCAGGTTGAGGACAATCCTGAGGCACCTCCTTTTGACACCTCCATCATCAGTTAACCTTCAACTTTTCAGTGCTCGCATAGACTGAAAAATTGCCCCAAGAATGCTTCAGCATCATGTAGGATAGCTTTTAACCCCGAGAGGCAGGTCTTTGTGCAGTTTCTGGCAGAAGGCCACCGAGCTACAAGGGAGAGTAGAGATATGACCTTACCATTGGGCACCTCCCAGCAATGGCAATGTGTGCTCCCCTGAAAAATCCAAAAGGAAGAATGAAACTTTGTCTCCAGAGATGTATGGAATCATCATTGATTCCATCCTTTCATCCAGGATGGGGTGGTAAGTGTAGATGATTTGCGCAGAGCAGGCACTATCACAAACCTTGCACATTGCTGGTAGCCTCAGTGTTGTCCACCTTCACTATAGTCATCAATGTCATGAATCAAGGATCTTTGACATTTGAGGCTATCTGCAGTCAAGGAGTCAGTTGCTGAGAGAGATAAACAATGCATGGCCTTTGAAACCTTTTTAAACCTGGGGATGTATAAAGAAGCTGCTCATATCTCTCATGGCATGATTTCACCAGGTCCAACAGTGATAAATACACGTGAGCAGACATTTTAAAAGTTCAAGTAAACATATCTTTACACAATTGCATGGTTATTTGCAATGTTGTACCACCCTTGCCAGCTATGTGCCCTCTAAGTTTTTTTTTTCCCCTTCCACCATGTCTAAGTGCAGTTCTGAGTCTGCAGTTGGGGTGGAGGGGCCCTGCTGTTTGGTCGATTTGGCTGGTTGACCTTGAGGCATTTAGGCTTAGACTGTCAAAGCCTGCTGAGGGTGTCCTGCTCAGATGCATGCACACCCTCCTTCGTTCGAACTTCTGCAGGTTTGGCATTCCAGGCAGTGGGGAGAAGGAAGGGCCAGGCATATCTGGTGGCTCCAGAGAGGAATTTTCTGAGGGCCTGGTGTAAGTCTTTTCACAATGGGTCCCTGCTAAGAGAGGAAGGGGCACCGGGAATGAGGTCAACTTCCTTGTCTCCCTGTCACCTTCTCATTGATGCTGATTACCTACGGCTACAGAGATGAAGGGGAGGTTCATGCATACATCTGATTGAGACATTGAGTGAACTCGATGTGGATCTTCATGTCAGTGGCCAGCAAGTTCATGGAAACAGCCAGATAAGTACATGTCAGAGTCAGCACTGATAATGGTGGTGGATTCCTCCATCCTTCAATCCAGTTTATGATTAGCTCTGCCAAAACTTCTTACTGTTCTTGCACTGACCTGTGCATTCTGACAAAATCATTTCCGGCCAAGACCATGACATCTGTGATGAGCAGGTATATGGTCTCTGAAGTCTGAGTGTCAGAGACCTGGATTATTCCTTCTTCAACCCACTGCGGTGGCAGATCTGTGATGTACTCACCAGAAGGTACTTCTGAGTTTAATCCAGATAGAGAACTCCACTGAGAATCTCCAAGGGGGATTGGTTTGAGAGCATTCAATCCAACTATAATTACTGTTGGCATGGAAAATCTAAGCCGTTCATTCTTTTTTGTGATAAACAATGACTCACTAGTAATAGTTTCCACTGTAAATAGTTTTCCACTTCATACATGTAGAACTTGCCAAAGTACTTTTTTTCTGAACCTTTTCAGTGCACCACTGTCCTTTTAAAGGAGGATTCCCCAAAATAGAACACAAAGTTCAAAATACAGTCTTAGCAATGATTTATGCAATATTTCAACTGATAGCCAACGTAGACATGAGAAATGGCCTGCATTATTGACCTTGTAAATACCAAAATGAAGTTGACAAGATATTTTCAGGAAATTGTTCACAATCACGTAAATTCATCACAATTTGTTAAAAGAACATAATGAATTGTGTAATGTTTTCTTGGTTTTTAAATTCTCTAACTATAACATAATAACAAATGATTACTGTGTTTTAAGAATTTTTCACACCAATTTTGGGGCATGGTAAAAATTAAATATCAAAACAATTGTTGCATAGACAATGAAAGTGCTGCACCAGAATCAACTTCATGAGTAAAATTATATATGGTCATAAGGAAAATGGCATGTGCAGTTATGGAGTTTCACACCATTATAAGAACTAAGACAACATGTGATTTTGTTCAAGTTATAATCTTGCATCCTATAGTTTGTTGTAAATTTAAATAATACATAATTTACACACCTTGCAAAACTAAAAATTTGTGGCAGAAATTATCCAATTGTAAGCATATTGTCACATATCCAGTAATGATTTAGTTTTCTTATGGAACCATCCTGGCATTGCTCTTTAACTAGGAATTGCAATTAAAATGCTTTGTTTTAACAATTTGCTCTTTTGTATTACTGAATGCAACTGAGTAATTGCTGAAGTTTTTCAATTGAAGTTTTTGAGAATTCTATGGTATTCTAACATGCAGTGAGATAACATAGGGCTATTTATAGAGTCATAGAGTTAAATTGCATGGAAACAGACTCTTCGGTCCAACTTGTCCATGCCAACCAGGTTTCCCAAACTAAACTAGTCCCATTTGACGGTGTTTGGCCCATATCCTTCTAAACTTTTCCTATTCATGTACCTGTCCAAATGTCTTTTAAATATTGTAACTGTGCCTGTGTCTACCATTTCCTCAGGCAGTTCATTTCATATTTGAACTCTTTGTATGAAAAAGTTGCCCCTTAGGTCCCTTCTAAATCTTTCTCCTATTACCTTTAAATTATGTTCTCTAGTTAAAACTTACCTACCCTAGGGAAAAGACTTTGACTATTCACCTTATCTATGCTGCTCAGCATTTTATAACCCCTCAGCCTTCTATGCTCCAATGAAGAAAGTCCCAGCCTATCAAGCCTCTCCTTATAACACAAACCCTTCGGTCCTGGTAACATCCTTGTAAATTTTAACTGCACCCTTTCCAATTTAATAATATCCTTCCTATAACAGGGCTACCAAACCTGCCTACTTACTATTCTAGCAGTTAGTAAACTTATGTTCATGATTTTACAAAATGGCATATCCAAGAAATTGATGGGTTCATGCACATTTTATTGAATAGTAAAAAAGTGTTTCTGAGTTTCCAGAGGGCATGCTCACAATGTCAGTGGTTCAAATAACAAGTTAAATATGAAGCCTCAGTTCCAGATGAGAAAATTACAAGAGGAATTACAAGATCATATCCATGAAAATCTTCAAAAAGTTTTCACGCTTTGACAAAACAAGAGTCAACAAAGAGTGGAAGAAAATGGATAGTATGCTTAATTTAGCTTTTAGTGAGGCACTACACTGTGCCTTAATTAATTTAATAGTTTTGATACCCATGCTATCATGCATTGGCAGCCAAACATGTTGCTTTGGACTAATCAACGTTTCACTGAATATGCTCATTCGTGCTATCAGCCACTCCTTTACATATAGAGAACTTAAAAAATACAAATAATTTTTAACTGTCAAATTAACTGCAATGTTTGTACATCAATTGCGATAACTCAAAAGCTTTACCAATTCTGCAGAGAGAATGCAAGTAAGAATACAACACAGCCAGATTTTTTTTAAACACAGCACAAATATAGCTCCACATATTGTTAAGAAACTTAACCACATGCATAGTTGCATTCTATAGATGCTGTACAAATTCCTAATTCTGGCACTATAGTGGTGCACGTTAAATACTTTACAAAAAATACTGTGCCATTTGTAACTGTTCATTACAGGCAAGTGACAAGCAAAACCTAGTTATTTTATGTCAGAACTTAGCAACAAAAAGATAAATACCAGTAAATTGGATTCCAGTTACAAGCAACATGATCGGATAGTAGATTACCATCAAACAGATCTGATAGCATCCAAATACGCAGAAATTGGACAGGGGTCTTTATACAAAACAGAATTATCTGGTATTTGGCATTTAAAACATTTTGCAACTTCAAATTTGTTTTTCTAAGACTTATATAATTGCAGAATTTCAATACTAGTAGCAAAACTTTTATCTTAAATTAAGTTATATTAATCATATAACTATATTTATGCATGAAACATTTTTACTTTTAACAGTTTTGAAATGTTTGGTGCTACTCTCAAATGCACCACTGGATGTATCAATGTGAAACAATTTACTCAAGTTTATAAGAGACCTTTGTAAATGTCTACTCTTGTTTTCATTAGGGAAAACAAGTAAACAACTGAACAGCCTCTGATCACGCTTCAATACATAACCTGCATTTAGTCTCACCTTGTCTATAAGCACTGATGGCAGTCCCTCTAAACAAGATGGCCAAGGTTTCCAGCTTTCTATCACTAATTTTCAGTGTGGAAGTTATGGGGTTTGTGTTTTCTTTTATAAATTTATTCAAACTGTTTGCTTCTCAATGAGCAATACACTGTCTTGAATATGAGGCTGGAACAACAAACAGTTGACACAGTACAACTGCAGAACTGTTGAAGTCTTATAAGCAGGTCACTGGATGTTGCTGTTGTCATCTGTCCCATTAGACTCTGACATATTCATTTTCCCAGTTGAATGAAGACTGCCAGAATTGGATACTGCGTCTCTTCGAGGAGGCATCCTCTCATTGATCCGGTCCAGGCCTTTTGCTTCTTCAAAACTACTGATTTTATGCTGAGGTGTAAATCCTCGGATAGCTAGAATTATTGATTATTGTTTTGTGTTGTTTGATAAGTGAAAAAAAGAGAAAAAAAACAATTAAACACTGATTATATTGTTGCAAGCATAAATTTGCTAAAAAGAATAGAAGTCCTGTCTGATCAGCATTTAGTTGCATTTCCTGTGGCAAATTTGTGATTGAACTTCTGCAGATGGTTCTATTAACAGCTGTAAAAAGACAAGTTTCCCTGTGGTTTCTGCAGATTCAGATATGACAGAGGACATTTACCACATCCTTTATGGAAATTTAACTTCAAAATTGTTTTGAAATTTTACTTGAACTTTACGTTTTGTTTTGAAACTTAACAACAATAATTTTAATTTGTAAACCTTGATTAATTGATTTCTAACATATTTGCTTAATGAATTTCCTTTACTAAATACCATCAGCTGAAGACTTTCCCTGAAACAGACTTTATTCTCAACAATGTGATATTTCTTATGGGCCTGAATGTTAATAAGAACTATAAAACATCACAGTGTTACTCTTTTCCATAGCGAAACTATAACATAAAAAGCTGACAGAAATATACAACTATCTATTGAAGTAGAGGTCATTGCTGCATACCTCTGTAACTTAGTAATGCTTTAATTAGCAATTGGATGTAGACAAAAGGCCTATATATGAAAAAATGACACTACACTTCGGCTGCCCTGAGAATTTTCTGTTTAATAATGGTGATTCAGAACAAATATTTTTTGGGACATTGTAAAACAAGAAAAATCTCTCCATGGGGACAGGCAAAGGTTAATGTCATAAAACATGGAAATTTACAATAATCTTCAAAAGGAAATTAAAATCAAAATCAAAAGCAAACTCTTGCAACCTGCAAGGGTTTGAGGAGCACTTGCTGTTCCTTTATACAACAAACATCACCATTCACCAGACAGCCACTTAGTCAACAGTTGTTGTTTTTGCTCTTGTGTATTTAAAACATATGTTTAAAGAAAAACACTCTACTACCTGTACAAATTGGTCAGCTGTATTTCTCAGCGATGTGCTGTTAAATTTAGAAGTAAACAAGAACAAACTGTGCAACTGCAGCTAAATAATGGAAAGGATCAAATCACAAAAAGGATGGAGTTTGTTAAAATTGCAGTATATGTCATGGTTATGGCATGTAGCTCACTTTCTACTTTCATAGGCGTAAATATGGCAAAGCGAAAACATTTTACTATCCTACATTTTCAATAGATTGGTTAGACAAAAAATGTATTGGCAAGTGGCAAATACATCAACTCTTCTTTCATTTTGCGAGCCTGGTTCTCTCACATTAAGAAGCCTATTTACGCCCATGGCTCTTGAACCTGAAGAATGTATGTAAAACAAAATAACATCACTAAAGTCTATCACAACAAATACAGTGAGCAAATGCCCCATATTACCTTCATGGGTTTCAACACCCTCAATGGCCTCAATAGCCTCAACAGTAGCTGAAGAGAAGAGAAGGGTTGCATGCAAAATGAATGAGAAAATTGAGTGGGTTTTCAGTGTAATAAATATTCAACATGTTGAAAACAGGAAGCCCCATGGAGCACAGTGTGGGAGTGGCAGTTGCATATACAGTACACTCGAAAAAAAGCATTAGCATAGTTTCAACAAAAATATAGCCAATTTTTGTGCATATAAAGAGATATGGAAAAATTAATGGGCAGATTAAATGACATGAAAATTTAATTTATTATCACAAAATGGATCATTTCAGACTTAAATGGTATTATGAAACAATATTATAAAATGACCTTTAGGCAATTCGTAGAGCAGAAGAGATGGTTGACTGTAGCTACAAAATACAAACTTTGTTTGCATGTTTTGAATATATATATATATACTGTAAAACCAGACATTGTTCAGATCAATACTTGTATTTTCTGGTGATTAAACAGATATACACATAGTAATCATGTTAGTTTTGTCTGATACATGTACATGTACACTTTTTGAGAAAACACATCACGTTGGTTTTCTTGTGTAAAATTTATAACTCAATCTTCTTATGGATGAGTAATATTGGAAGTTGAGGTTTGAAAAATTAACACCAACTGTTATCTTTTGATTTCCCTTTAAATTCTCCATATTCTGTAGAATTACTATCAATAGGCGAACTCATGATATTTATTTTAAACACAATCATGCATTGTATCAGGCAGAAGCTCTGGTGCGCAACAGTAATTTAATCTTATTATGTGATAGCTGAAGCTGTTTATCTTGATCTGAATTACATCACGCCATTTAAAAGAAAATCTTATTGCATGGTTTTAAAAAAAATGCATTACAAGTGGAATGTTAACAGAATATTCTGTCCTTATCATGTTCCTACTTATAGTGAAAGATATAACTGTAGTTAGAAAATAGTTTCCAGTATAAGGTGCATGAGAAACACTTGCAACACCACAACACTTACTCTTGGTATTCACTGATCATCACCACATTTTGGTAACAAATTAAATCATGAACTATGTCGAGTAGAGGGATTTTTATTAATTTTTTTTAGTAACTGATTTTATTAATTACAAATTTTGACTTGCAATTAGATGGAATCATCATGAAGGGAAAGAAATATACAGCAGCCTTTATACTGGAGAAGGGTCTAAAATGCATTTTGACTATAATAAAAGCTGCAATTGGGTAACAAAAAACAGTAAGATACAAGAATACCTCTATGAATATATTGTGAAGTGCTAGTTTTGTTTGAAAATATTTATAACACCATATATACAAAATTTAGTTCCTCACTTATAGACAGAGTTTTTCAGGTTTCTTCTCAATCAAACAAGACCTTGTCACCCTTGCAAAAACTGACAAACAATATGTTTACGGAATTTCCATTAAAATGTCTAAACACCTGATTCAGGTGATGAGGAGTCAAAAATTGCTGAAAAGTTTTAATAAATCAATTTTCAGATCTTGAAATTTGTGATCCAATGATCATTACATCAGCTGAGTTCTGTGGTCAGTACTTTGTTTTTTAAATATGTAGACTATAAATTGGGCTACAAAATCTTTATGTTGTACCTAAATTCTTTCTCAAAATTGATTTTTGAATGATATGCAAAATATGAATTTCACTGTGCATTAACACAGCTATGTTTTCCATTTACAATATTAGATAGCATCACATTCACCAACATAATCACCCTTCAGCTTATTAATGGAAAAAAAGCTAATGATAAAGAACTTCTGTGCAAAATTTTAATTTAGCTATCAATATTTCTGCCAATATTTACTACACAAATATTATCTGTTACATAAAATGTATAAACTTCTCTGAAACTATTGTTAGAAACTGTCTGCTGAATTTTTCTATTTCTGTCAGTCAGTTGCATGCATGTAGCAGCAGGGACTGAGCACTGTGGGATTGAATCCTTAAATCTGGGAATTTGCAAAGTGAGGGAGATCTTTTATAAAATATGAGAGGCCTAAGAGAGGGAGCCAAAGATAATTGACCTAAGAGCTGATGTCCAGAGGCATTAAGTAGTATGCAGGCAGATATTTGAAGAATTTGAATATTCTTTTCTACCTAAACTGGGTTTCAGCCAGTATTGGGGTGATAAAATATACTAGATTAAATTTATAGCATAACTATTTAAATTCAATAATATAACAAGCAATGGGCATTGAGTGGCGTTTTAATCTTGAAAGTTAATTAATTAAATATAAATAAAATAATGATGATGTGTTGATGGTGTGGTATGAGGGAACTGATGGAATCCTGTGTGATCCACAGCAATGACATCTGTAGCCAGTGTCCGCAGTTCAAAGAACTTGGGCTCAGAGTTAATGAGCTCTAGTCAGAGCTTCAGACTCTGAGATACATCAGGTGGAGGGGGTAAAAAGTAGCTGGCTACTTTGTTCTAGAAGGCAGTTTTCTCTTTAAACTAGGCACTTCAGATTTGGTCCATGGTCAGAAATAAGAAGACATGACTTCAACTGTAACAAGTACATGTATCCAAAAAGGGAGCCATGGAGCATCCTCAGCCCTTGCAAAATGTTCAACATGTTTGACGTTCTTGCATCTTGTGGATAAGAGCAGAAATCGCAGGGAGTATGAGCAAACTGACCACGCACATTGGCATACTATAGTAGTGGAGGGTATTGTTTGGGGGAATAGAAACTGTTATCTGCGGCCAAGAGCACAAGTCATGAAGATTGCGCTTTCTGCCCAGTGTCAGGATTAATTACATCTCAGGTCTAAAGAGGAAATTAGAATGGGAGGGGAAGGATTCAGTTGTCATGGTCAATGTGGGTACTCAGTAAATTTACCCTTTGCCATCTTCCACTGGAGAATGGGTACATAATGATTGCAAGCGGTGGTCACATTAATTTATAGAAACTTAACACATTTTCCTCATTGAAATCTGCGAGGTTGGGGTAGGAGGAATAAGAAGCCTTATGTTAGTAATACTCAAAATTGTCAAATATTGTAATGCAGCTTTAACGAGAGAGAGATAAAAAAAATAGCAGTGAACTGAGGTTGAGGCTGCGATATATATTGCACTTGGCTCTAATCTTTCTGGCATTAGCACTAAACAGAAGCAAAAGTTTATGCTGATTACCTAGAAGAAAGCCCAACGGCAAGATTTACATATAAAGGTACAAGAGGTTGAGTTGATGTAGGGAAGCGACTAGCAGACTTTCCATTGTCCAGGAGTTACAAATGTTCAGGGAAAAGTTGATAATTGCACTTACAGAGATGCACAATTTGGACTGAATGTTGCTAGGGCTGTCTGCAAAACAGGGTATACAGAGAGGACTTTTGCCAGATGTCCTTACACTGGCCAGGAGGTAACACCGGTTAAAAGGACACTTGCTAGAGGAAGCTTTTGCTAGGAAAGGAAGTTAAGAGTTCATAGTGGGCACATGACAGGCGCTTGACTGGTCAAAAGGTAACCGTCATAGGTTAAGGATTTGACATAATAAATCCAGGTATATCTTGGGATTTTCTGTAAGAAATCCAGGCATAGGTGAAGTGATTTGCCACTGGAAAAATGTCCAGTTATAGGTCAAGTAATTGGCCATAAGGAATCCAAGTATAGGAATTTGATCAGTATTTTAATACACTATTAGGACTAAAAGGAATTGCCTTAAGAGAAAGTGAAAGCAAAACATCTTTGTTAGATTAGTTGAAAGTCCTCAACTGAAGTTTTAGAAAGAGAGAAGCATTCAGCAACTTGCATTAACTACAGCATATAAGGTAGACTGGGAAATTTTAGTTGAAGTCTTAAAGCTGCAAGAGTTTTGCACTGACTATGTTAAAATCTTGAAGTATATTATGACTCAAGAGACCAGGGTTCAAGTACATTTTGAGTCAGGAGATTAGGCTCAAGAAACCAAGAGAAGACTCTAGAAGTCTACCTTTGGGCGACTGTGTGGAGTTTGCACATTCTCCTCGTGTCTGTGTGGGTTTCTTCCGGGTGCTCCGCTTTCCTCTCACAGTCCAAACAGTGCAGGCTAGGTGGATTGGTCATGCTGAATTGCCTATAGTGTTCAGGGATGTGAAGATTAGGTGGGTTATGGGGGGGAATGGGTCTGGATGGGGTGCTCTGAGGGTCAGTGTGGACTTGTTGGGTCAAAGGGCCTGTTTCCACACTGTAGGGGTTTGATGATTCTATGAAGTCCCAGGATCCATGGAAAGACAAGCCAACATACACTGGAAACCACTTCTCCCACACCTGTCTTTGAGCTACACATTCATTTCTCTCTCTGATCTGCCCTTTGCAAATTCCTGTGTGCTCAGGTAATGATAGTCATGATGACTTTTAAGGTTCTGTTTAATTTAGAATCTAGGTCCTCATACTGACTACATTTATCGTTGATACCTACATTGACCATGATGACTGAATCCTCCCTGGCCCACTTCAAGTTGGTCTCCAGACCTGAGCAGACATCCCAAACACTGGTAATAGGCAGGCATTACAGCACCTGAACTCACTGACAGTGTCAAACCCCCTCACGATGTCGTCCTTTACTACTTCATTTCTTTACAATTTCATTTTTTCTTAGTCCCTGCTCTTGAGTGGCTTCTTGTAACTTAGTCATCCTGTATGCATCCTCTCATTTCTTCTGCTGCTGCGGATCTCTGAGGTCCGTGCATAGCAGTGACCTCAGGAACCAAAGCCAATGCGACTGTATGGGAGTGATGCGTAAGCTCCCTGTGAATGGCTGAGTCATTGGTCATCATCCCTGTAGCCATGACTTACATCCAGACAAGCTGAAAAATCTTCAAACTTGTAACAATTGCAAAGACTGAGGCTCCTGGGCTCCTACCCTCTGGGTCCCCTTACCTGCCTCACTCACAATCACTTTCTCCTGTCTTTGCACACTGACCAGGCCAGACAATGCAAACCTAAGAGGTGTGACTGCCTTCTGGTACAAACATGAATCATGTCAGTTTTACTATTTATTTTCCTTCTGGACTGGTGGATCTGTCAGC